ACGGCCCGTTCCACATTAAGAATTCAAGCCCTTTTTGTTATTTGGAACAGGCCGTTCCAATATGGGAACGGCCCGTTCCAATTCTGGAACGGCCCGTTCCAATTCTGGAACAGCCCGTTCCAGTTTTAGAACGGCCCATTCCAATTTAGGGTTTTAGGCCCTTTTTGTAAATTGAAACGGCCCGTTCCAGTTTTGGAACAGCCCATTCCGGGTTCCTAAAACCATCTTATGTGGGATTTTAACCTTCTGATGTCATGTCCTGTTATTTCCATGATTGGGAGCTCATTTCCTTGATAATAGACGTCCATTTCTTCATTTGTATGCCCTCCGGACAAAATTGGGTGTCTACAGGTTCACATAAAACCTTCATGAATAACCAAAATAATTAAAAATGAAATTTATAAAGTAAAACTTGAGAGTTTACAAATTATTTTTAAAAATAATAAATACAACTCTAAATCCATATAAAAATTCCATATCCTAGAATTTTCTGCCCTGATGTCACAATATCATACCACACCCACAACTCAACAATTGACATTCTAGACGCCACTCAAAGCCGGATCTTCCTCACCTAAAACATCCACAAATTGTACTGTGAGAAAAGAAAACATTTATATATAAAGCACACAAGGAAATCCACAACATCATCACATCATAACTTGAAATGTTATTTACAAACATTTATATATATATATATATATAGATATATATTATAATTTATCAATCATTCATCATCACATCTCAATTCACAATTACATTAATCCATCACAATCCACACAAAATATATATATATATATCATAATTTATCAATCATTCATCATCACATCTCAATTCACAATTACACCAATCCATTACAATCCACACAAATCTTACAAATAACCCTATGTCAAGGTCACGCCTGTAGCATCTCTTGCTCGAGGTCGTGCCACTCCCGACATAAGCATTAATTGCCTTACACATCCCACCCTATGCCAAGGTCACGCTTGTAGCATCTCTTGCCCAAGGTCGTGCCACCCCCAACATAAGCATGAGAAATCACACAGCCTACACTGTGCCAAGGTCACGCCTGCAACATCTCTTGCTCGAGGTCGTGCCACCCCCGACATAAGCATGAGGAATCACCCATCCCATACTATGCCAAGGTCACGCCTGTACCATTTCTTGCCTAAGGTCGTGCCACCCCTGGTCACAAGTGTTAGGAACCACAATCACATTCTCATTCACATCCACATCCACATCCACATTCACATCCACATCCACATCCACATCTCAATTCCACAATACATACACAATCCACACAAAATGGTGGTTCACATACCCCTCAAGTAATTCACCATGAATCCTCACCTAGATCATCATTTTTATCAAATAATATAACAATAACATTCATAAATTAATATAATAATCAATAGAATTAGCAATTTAATATAATTTTAGCATAAATGGTAAAACTCCCAATTATTCTAAAACCTAACTCACAGGCACTTTTCTACAGTTTCATTCTCTCTCTCAAATCATCATTCTTACAAATTAAATATATATTTTTAATCCTCAACACATACGAAATCTAATGGGATCATCAATTTCTCAAACAGAAATAATTCAATTTTTCCAAAACCTAACTAACAGACACTTTTCTATAATTTCGTTCTCTCTTCCAGATCATCATTTTTACAAATTAATCATATATTCGTAATCCTAAATATATACAGAATCTCATAAGAACAATAATTCTCCAAACATAAATAATTATAAAAATTACTCATAATCCTAAGGGACTCTTCCTCTACCCAATTCCCTCATGTAACTCTACATATAAATAATCCCCTTTTCCCCCGTACCTGGATAAACTGCAGTTGAAACTAAAACAGAGATCTCTTGGTCTCCTCTAAGTGTCCCTCAATCTTCAGAGAGTGTAGAAGGGAAAGAAGAGAATGTATACTAAAACACCTTAATTGGGCTCTTGGCCTAGTGAAAATTGGGTTGTTACACGCACAAGTGATGTTGGTGGGCCTATTATGTTTAGGCTATTGCAAATGGGCTTATGTTTAATATATTAGGTGGTGTAGTCGCAGTGGACTAAATATAGAATAACAGTAAGACTCATGTTTATTAGGATATTTCAGTTGCTAAGTTTGCAGAAAATAAAATGATTTTAGGATTGAAAAACATATTGGTATGTCGATTGAAATAACGTTCATAAATTGATTGTGAATGATGTAAAATAACGTTAGATTGTTAAATAATTATGATAAAAGTGATGATAAATAATAGTTAAAATTTATTGTAGTGTGTGAGGCTTTGTTATTACATTTGTAAGTGACTGAAATCGTAAGATGACAATCTGCAATGGAGGGTTGGCAGTTGTTACACAATATGAAAAGACGACAAAAACCGTAATAAACATGTATTTTATAATTTCATTCGTTAAAGAGTAATCCATTTTCGGTGTTTGACTATAGCGTTAATGAGTAATAAATGGTTACGAGTTAAGGTTATAACATGAATAAGAATATGAATAGTAAAGTTGAATTGGAAGGGTAAATTGTATGTTTAGGAAAATGGTTTGTAATACGCAAAGACCTTAGGCATTTTGGTTTCCTTAATATGGGGTTTACAATTGCAATTGAAAGACAATTAGTATAAATGTAACTTAAAACACTAATAATGATATAAGTGATGTTCATAAGACAATATAAATGATAGTTAAATAGGCGTCAATATTGAACTTGAATAGTCATATTCATATACGTGATGTTCATCAGATAACATAAATGACGTGATGTTCATCAGATAACATAAATGTAAGTTTTTGAGAGAAGTTAAATAAATAAATAAAATAAACTTAATGGTTTATCTTTTGGACTTGAATAACTAAATTGTTTGGGGTGAGAAGCTTCTGTAAAATCAAGTCGTCTCCCGGTAGAAACCCTTGTTGTTTGAAGAACTTTGTGCATGTTGATGTTAAGTAGTACTCAAATGTAGATGTCATTTTCCTCTTCCTCTTCCTCTTTAGAATATGACAATTTTCATGGATATTGCTAGAGTGAGTCTTTAACAAACAATTTGTATAATTGTTAATTTCCCATGCCCGAACAACAGTAAGGGGGATGTACTGAAATATTGTGAATCAAGAGAAGATAAGTTATATTTTGTATAAGTGTTTATTTAAAAATTTATAAACAATAATATAAGAAAGTAAAATAAAAGTATTACAATTTGTTGGTTTCCCTTGGCTTGACTTGTTGTCAATTTGAAGGTCCAATTTTGTTCATGTGTTGGTAAATTTTGAATTGGTTCAAATGAGGCATCGTCGTCCAATCTGTATAACAGAATACTTTTACAAGTATAAGAAATAAGAAATAACAAATAAAATGGGAATAATTGATAACATATATAATACTGCAGGAATATGAACATAACCTTTGTGGTTGTTGCTGTTCATTAACTGTGTTTGGGGTATAAGGAATTTCATTGTCAATAGATGTGAAGATTCTAATGGTGAACCATTGCCCCCCTTTGTATTTGAACAGAATAGAATGGAAGTATTGCAGTCCATAAAAATTAGTCATTTGTCGAACTCCGGTTGTGAATATTCCAACCTGCGCTTTTCTGGTAATGTTGATGGGAAAACAGTTTCCTTCCGGATCTGTCATAAAGTATTTGTCAAACTTCAGGGTTTCCTTCCAATGATGGAAAAATCGTCTGGGAATAATCAGTTGTCCCTAAATAGAAAAAACAATTGTTAACATGCAAACATTATATAACAAATTGTGTAAAATTTAAACGGTTTAGGGTTTACCTTATGAGGCCAAAGTTCTACTTTAAACTCAGAAATGTCGCATTCGTCATTGAAGAGAAATATGTATTGTCTTGTTTGTGCTGTGATAAAGAGATGAAAGAAATGACAGTGATGGGGTCATGGTTGAACGAAATACAATAATATTAACATAATAGAATTTCGTAGAAGGAGAAAGTTGGAGGTAGTATTACCGACGAAGGCAACAGTGGAAGTCATGGTGGAAAAAGGATGGAGGAAGATTATAGTGGTGCAGCAATGTCAATGAAACGAATGGACTATTGAACAAAATCAGACATAGGAACCAACAGGTTGCGTATGAAGTTATATTTGTAAAGATTGGGAGTTGTGAAATTTTTTGTGAACGCGAAGGGTGTCATTATTGTTTTATTTGTTTATTTTATAATTGTAAATTTGAAGGAAAATTTAAATTTACATTATTGTTTTATTTCTTTATTTTATAATTGTAAATATGAAGGAAAATTGAAATTTACAAAATGATAATAAGTAAGTGATAATTAGTATGTACGAAAAAAACAAGTAAGTCATAATTAGAAATTAGTAATTAGTAATTAGTAATTAGTAATTAGTATTTTAGTAATAAATATAAAATTAACAAATATTAATAAAAAATTTTAAAAATATGAATTGGAAGTAGTTAAGTACAAGAAGTACAACTCCCCAGAAACCAAACGGCCTAGAAACCAAACGACACGACTGATGGCTGATGGGAAGGGTTCCAAACTACGAAATAAGTACTCATGTACGAGTCCCCATTCATGACTATTACTATCCAATGAGTGTATATATATGTACAAACCCGAAGCCTTAAAATCAGAAAATTTGTAGCAACAGGATACAATATTATACATACATATTTGAGAGTGAGATGGACTTATCATCATTGCCATGTGAGTTGATATTGGAAATCATTGTTCGATTGTCTGCGAAGTGTATTGCAAAATATAGATGCGTTTGTAAGAGTTGGCAGAGGTTATTGTCTGATCGAAACTTTTTGGAAGCAAATTATGCAGCACTGGGTAGCATAAGGAAGCCTTTATTCATAAATGAAATAGTTCGTTAGATATGTTTGGTTGATATCACAAAACATCTAAATGATAATGCCATTGTGCGAACATTCAGAACAGATTTGCTTTGTGAAGAATTCGGATACCATATCAAACCTATTGGTGCATGCATGGGTGTGGTGTTGGTCGAAGTTCTTTTTGGAGGTGAGTATAAGTTTTATGCTTGGAATCCCACAACAGGATATTTGAGGAAATTCAACAAGAGGCCACCTATTGAGTCAACTCCATTTGTGGATGAATATATTCTTAAGTTTTATGGTTTGGGGTATGCTCCAAATATAGGGCAGTATATTTACATTCAGATATATAAAAACAAATATGATGGGATTGGCATAGTGGAGGGTTATTCGTTGACAAATGATGAGTGGTTCACGATTGATACCAGCATGGAATTTTCATATACTGATACTGATGATACTATTGGGAATGGGTCCTTGGGTTTGTATTTTGCTGAACATCTGCACTGGCTTGTGTTGTCCAGTACTATTAACTCATATCAAATTTTAGCATACAAATTTAGTGATGGTCAATTTGAGGTTGTTGGCCTACCTCGTGATGTTGATTTATCAAGGGTTGAACTATGTTCGTTAGTTATACTTGATGAATGTCTAACATTTTCTGGGATTTTTGACGATGCTGAATTACCGTTTTATGTTGTAAAAATATGGGCAATGAAGCAATATGGTGGTCAGCGCTGTTGGAGTCATAATGTAACATTGCATATGTGTGATTGGGCTTTCGGATACATCTTACTCGTATGTTTTACAGATTATGGTATTGTTTACATAAACAACAGCAGTGAAATGATACTTAGGTGGAACAACATTTATCGTGTTGTTGAGCATCAAATGATTGAAATTATACAAATTTATCACCGCATGGCTATTTATGAGGAAAGCCTTCTTTGGGTTTAGGTTGTTTTTATTATTAATTATGTATAATTTGTTTGTATCAGTAATTATGTATAAGATGTTTGTATTACTTTTTATTTTTAGGTTATTTGTATTAAGGATTATGTTTAGGTTGTTAGTATTGGGTTAGTAATATTTTGTGATTTTTATAGAAAAAATGTGAATTATATTGTTATTCTCTAATGTTTTGTGATTTATATAGAAAAAATATGAATTTACCTCTGTGATGCCCGAAATTAAACTTCAGGTGAGGATTCCAATGTGGAACTTTTCCAAAGATTATATAATAAACCACTTCAGATGTTAGGTGGATTCTGAAGTACTCCTCTAAGTATTCTATTTGCTACCGGTATGGGTCTAGGCCGAGTCATACCGATGGATGAGGTGGCCCCACCAGGGTTACGTGACGACGTAACCCAACTGTATATTTTCCATGAGAGGTTACGTGTGGGACATGGGTTGATGACATGTTTCACCGTATCAACACTTGGTTTGGATGGTGTTGAGGCCAACATTTGGTTTGGATGTGTTGGTTACATCATGGATTATACAGTGGTGTGACTTTGTTTTGGATGTGGAATATGTATACATATGGTATGGATTGTATACATTGGTTATGGATTCTTTATTATAATAAAATATGTATGCATTGGCATGGATGTGTATACAATATATTTTGGATTGGTCTATATTTAGCTTGGAAATGACTTGTTGGTCTGGATAAATACTGTGGACAAATATCTGTTTAATGATATTTTATTATGATATACTATGGTTGGTTTTATATGTGCTAACCCTTATATTTTCATGATGGACTGTGATGATCTCACTATGTGGGGGAGCAGATCAGGTATGAGGCTTTGGGATAGCAAGGAGTCTTTTGGATAGCTGTTTTGAGAAGTGGCTAGGTTTAGAGCTTGACCAGCACCTAGGGTGTCTTATTTTGATGTCTTCATGACATTGTAATTATATTACCTTTTTGGATTACTGTATAACATTACTGAGGATGACTCTACTATAAAATTATGTTATATATTTTAGAAACAATTTTATATGTTATTGTATATTTACACTCTAGCGTAGCTGGCCCTTGTTCTATTTTCTTTAATATATTATTTATCTTTGGTTGGTTCTGGATGTGACGGCCTAGGGTGGGTCGTTACATCATTGAGCTCATCGATGGGGCTCGACCGTTCATCATGGGAGTCTGACCTCGGATCCAGGTCAGTGATGTCCACGTGGGCGATGTGAGCCACTGTGGGGGGATCACTTCGGCATCGCTCGTCAGACGAAGAGACTTTCAAACTTTTGGCGTAGCACTGCCGAGCTATCTTCTGGTTTGCCCTGACAGAGATGATCTTGCCATCACTCCCTGGGAACTTCATGGTGAGATGTGGGGTAAACACCACTGCTCCGAGTTGGTTCAACGTCGGCCTTCCAATAATTATGTTGTAGGACGTGTTGGCTTCCACAAGGAGGTATCAGACCATAATCCTCCTTGTGTCGGGAGATGTTCCGAAGGTTGTCAGCAGGTCCACGTATTCTCGAGTGTGTATTCGCTCTCCTGCAAATCCAACTAGTGGTTCTATGTGAGGTTGGATAAGGGAGTGAGGGATATCTAACCTGAGGAACGTCAGCCAATATAGGACGTCAGCCGAGCTTCCTTGGCCAATCAACGTCTTGTGGACCTCCCCATTGGCGTCCTCCACGGCGATGACCCTTGGGTCGTCCTGGTTGGGGCAGACGCCAGTGTAGTCGTCGTCGGTGAAGGTGATCGGCGGTGAGCTTTGGTGTGAGGCCGAGGTAGCGGAGTTGACGTTGTTGATGCTACGCAGGTATCTTTTTCGGGCTGAGCTGCTGGATCTTCCGCCTACAAAGCCTCCTGCAATTGTGTTGATTACTTCCCGTAAGGGAGCTGACCTTGTTTCCTGGCTTACCTCGACCTGCACTACGCCATCGACATTTTGCTGAGAGCCAGAGGGTTGGTCTACGTGAGCTCCTGAACCACGACCTCTGCCTCGTCCTCTTCCATTGTAGCCTCCTCGGTGGCCTTGCTGTTGTTGGACGTATTGGCCGAGGTGACCCGCCTGGACAAGTTCCTCAATATGGCCTCCTCTAGGATGTGCACTCTGGGCGTATTCAGGGGAGTGTAGAAGTCGTATCTCCCCCTCTATTTGCCCTGGCAGTCTTCTTGAACTGGCTGTCATTGGTGACCTTCATCTTGTCTTTGTGACCATGGTCAGGCTTCGCTTGAGATTTTTTGTGAACCTGGTCACGAAAAGCAGAGTGCTCTTCCATCTGTATGTACCCTGCAGCTTGGGCACGGAGTTCGTCCATGTCGCGAGGAGCTTATCGACACAGGCTGTCGATGAACAGTCCTGGCTTGAGTGCCATGAGCATGGCGTGTAGGGCGACCTCAGGATTCAAATTTCGAATTTTCACTGATATGCCGGCAAAACGTTCCATGAACGCCCGTAGTGGTTAGTCGTCGCTCTATCTAAGACTGGCTAGAGCAGCTGACGTGATGTGATGAGGTCGGCTCGTTGCATACTGTGTCGTGAACCGTCTGACCAGAGTATCAAAGTTGTCAATCAACTCAACAGGTAACTAGGTATACCAGTTGAGTGCAGCCCCCTTGAGCTAGGTAAAAAGAACCCTACACAAAACAGCATCGTCATTAGTGTATAGGTTTACTTGTGTGACGTATAAGTCAATGTGTTCATCTGGATCCGTCGTGCCGTCGTAGCAGTCGATGTGGAGGGGCTTCCAGCCGAAAGGTAGGGGTGTCTCCATGATGCCGTCCATAAAGGGGTGGCGGCGAATGCTCGTCCAATTTCCAGGAGCCTGGGTTGGAGCGTTGCTGACTTCATGGGCCGACCTGTTTGTTAGCGCGTGAGACCGATGTGTGGTAGGTCGGGGAGTCGGTGCCCTAGGCGCCGTTGGGGGTTGAGCGACCGAGTGCCCCTCCTCTTCGTGTTGGCTACCCGATTGAGGGGGCTGATCAGAAGGGCATTGAGGAAGCTGGGCGCGAATAAGCTCGTTCTCGGCACGCAGCGCCGCTAGATCAACTTTGTTAGCGGTACGCAGCACCGCTAGGTCGGTTTCGTGCTTGGCACGCATGCTTTGCAGATCGGCGGTGTGCTGCTGCCGCATTTGTTCGACCTGCTCGATCAGCCTTCTCAATGCTGCTTCGCTGTCCATTCTAGTTGTGCGATCTAGGTCGTCTGTTGCTCGTCTACTATGGCTTCAGGTGAAAACCATAAGCGTGGCCGATAAGAGCTGTCTTGATCGACCCACGGTGGGTGCCAAATGTTCTTACCGGAGATCGATCGTAGGGGACGATCTGCTGGGTAAGATCGGCGAGCCTCCTTCACTGGTACGTTTGATGTTCCAAGATGGGGGTGGTACTTGCAAAAGAAACTCCGATATTAAAGTTAGTGTTTGTGGGTGTATGAGTCTCTTATAAGTAATGCACGTACCTTTGTGTGAATTAGGATTTCATTGGGCCTTGGGCTTGAGGTCAGCTATGACCTATTTGGATGTCGGGCTGATGTCGCCTAGCGCGTGTCCGAGATCACTCCACGCTGAGATGCCGAGCTAGAGTTCGGCATCGCGGTACGGATAGTACAACTTATAAAATTAAAAATCATATAAAATATTTTATAATTATTCGTCAATTTGAATTTATAAAACAAAAAATCATATGATTTTCAAATTTTTTTAAAATTTGTAGATTTCGTTTATGCTTTAAGAACTTGTAAATAAACATTTGAATTGTTAGAATTTGATGTAGAACACAAATTATTGAGTAAAGTAAGTTTAACAAAATTTACTCTTGGAATGAATGAATTTCTCCTAATAAACCAATAATTTATTACTCTTCACGAGTTCAACAATTATGAATCGAATCAAGGCCCCATCCAGTTGAATTTTCAATTGCATGAATCCTAACCATTGAAAATAGATAGGTCAAAATACTTTTTTTAGTTCATATAGTTTCACTTACTTTATCTTTTAATCCTTATAGTTTAAAATAGACTTTTTTTACCCCTTATTCTTATCTTCATCATTTTTTTAATCTTTATAGTTTAAAATAGATCTTTTTAGTCCATATACTTGTAGTTTTATAATCCTTTTAGTCTCTGTAGTTAATTTTTTTGTAATGTAGTCTCTTTTGTATTAACGTGACAAATATATTAATTTAACTATGTGTGTTTAATGTTAAATTTATTTTTCTGACTTTAAATTAGGTCACTCAAAGTTTCGTTCTTCCTCTGTACCCATCACATGCAATGCCTATTTTTGAGATACATCTTTTTTTTTTTCTCACAAAAATGAAAAATCTCTACCACATTAATGTAAAAAACAAATAAAGCTACAAAAAATAGCAATAAAATAATGTCATTTATGTTTACAAGTCTTCTCAAATATTCCCTCTCACCAAAATAAGAAATAAAAAAATCTCAATCACTACTACACGATAAAAATAATAAGGTTTAAATATGTTATAGTTTATGTACAATAAGTTAGTTTTAATTTAATTATTTTAGATATTTTTAATTTTTAATTTTTATAAATTTGGAACTCTTATTTTTAGTTCTTTTAAAAGGATAATTCACTATTTTGTGTGTTATCTAGAATGGTTAGTATTACTATATGTCAATACCTCTAAATATTTTTATACATATTTAAAATAAATTAATATTATTTATTCACATTGTAGACTTTAAATTTTTTAGGGATGAAAATAAATAAATAAATAAATATATATATATATATATATTAAAGAAACTAAAATCAAAATTAATTTTATTATGTTTTAAGAACTAAAAAAATCAAATTTTAGAAGAACCAAAATAAAAAAAAATACTATAACTAAAAACATGTCTAAATCAAATAATAATAATAATCTTTTAATTTGGATAAAAATATTTTCTAATAATTAAGAACTAATTTCTTTTATAATAATAATAATAATAATAACAATAATAATGATGATGATAATATTGCAGAACTCATATTTAGTAATAATATGATCGCAATAAAATACAAGTGAAAAACAATTCTTTTACATTAGTTGTCATTTTAAGATTGAGCTACTCAAGCTAAAATAATATCTTTAGAAAAAATGAGGCAAACAGTAAGGAGGTCAAACTCGTCATAGACACATGAAAGAAAAGTAAAAAGAGATTAAATATACTTTTAAAAATAATCAAAAACTCACTTATTTTTGTCACAAGTGTAGTTTTTTTAAATTAAAAAAAAAATGAAGTTTAGCTAGCTAGTAAAGTATTGCCTTAAGAAAGGAGATTAGAGCCTAAGGGTAGCTTGACATAGGTTAATAGCAAGTGACATAATAGATCTAACAACAATAATCATTATGATAAACTCATATATCATCTTAAGAAAATGAAGTAGAGCTCAACTCAACCTAATAAAATTGTCTTGTAATATATAATAATTATGATTAGACCACTAACTAGTCGACATGAGACTTGTAACATTTATATTGACGGTTAACTCCTTTTGTTAGATTGGACTTTCAACTAGTAGGTGCATTAGTTTCTAATTAAGAGTAAGTCTTGATAAACTTACTTCACTCCATAATTCATGTTTTACATCAAATTATAATAATCTAATCATTGAATTAAAAGTTTTTAATGCATAGATCAAGTTTATATATATTTTTAAGAAATTTAAAAATTGTTTGATATTTCGTTTCATTTACTCGAATCAATGTTTTCAAAATTGGATCATTCATTAAACATATCTAGTAAATATTGGTTTAATGTTCAATAGTTCAATCGTATTTGAATTGTGATTAAGCCAATATTAATAAAATAATGATTATTATTATTATCAATAAAACAAATAATATTAAATAAATATAATTTTATAATTTTATAACACTAAAAGTTAAAATAAAATGTTATTTACAAATTCTTAAAATTTGATATATATGTAAAATTTTAAACTATATATAATATAATATTTAAGTTTAAGTTTTAATAAAATATAATAATATCTATTAATAATAACAAATTTACATTTAGAATAAATAGTATCAAATTAATATATATAAAATAAAAAATAAATATATTAAAATTGTAAATTAATATAAATTATTAAATTATATTTATGAGACAAGTATTAAAAAAATATTTTAATTTGTAATTTTTATTCAAAAATTAAATTAAATTTTAATTGTTTTTAATTGAACTGCCTCAAACTAGTTTGACCATTATTTTTACCAATTTTGATTGGTTTTGGATCAATTTTATAGACTTTTGACTGGTTTGATGTATAATGGTTTCTTGGGTCAACCAAGCTAGTTTAGGATTAGTTCTTGATCAAACCGATTCAATTGGCCAATTTGATCTGATTTTCACAACCTTAATTCAAATTAAAAGATAATTAAAAAAATATTTTATACATTAATTTAAATTTATATAACAAAGTATTATATGATTATCAAATTTTTTAAAATTGGTATGTGATCTATTTATGAAGAAATTTTAATTTGACAGTTAAATTATTAAAATTTAATATAAAATAATTATTGATTTTCACAACCTTAATTCAAATTAAAAGATAATTAAAAAAATATTTTATACATTAATTTAAATTTATATAACAAAGTATTATATAATATTTAAATTTTAAAAAAAAATTAAAATTTTATTTATATATTAAAATTTTTTAATTTACAATTAAATTATTAAAATATAATATTAATTATGAGTCAACACTAATAATGATATGAAATGTAATGTTGAACACTAATAATGATATGAAATGTAATGTTGAAGAAGGAAAATTTAACTTCGAGTCAACTACACCATAATAATTGGGTCTTTCTTCATGCCTTTTAAGTGACGTGTGCACATATGTGAGTATCAAGGAAATTTATATATTTTTATCACATGAAGAATATTCTTTAATAAAGAAAAGAGAAAAAGAAAAAATTTCAAGGTATCTATAAACAAAGACATTAAGCATTCCTAGTGATTCATAAGTAAGGATAAGGTGAAGGTGAGAATAGTCAGTAACAGGGAAAGATGCAAGGAGAAACAATAGTGTTGTACCCAGCCCCAGGAATAGGGCACATCATTTCCATGGTGGAGCTAGCAAAGCTCATCCACAAACACCATTTCTCCACCACCATCCTCCTCACCACCGGCTTCTCGGACCACCCCTCCATCGACGCCTACATCCGCCGCATCTCCGCCGCATACCCCACCATCTCCTTCCTCCGCCTCCCTCACGTCGCCGCACCAACCGCGGCCGCCAGCTTCCTCGGCAAGTGCTTCACCTTCGTCAAAAGTAACGTCACCAACGTAGCCACCACGCTAACCCAAATCTCGGAATCCGCCACCATCAAAGCCTTCGTAATCGATCTCTTCTGCACTTCCGCAATGGAACCAGCTTCTTCCCTGCAGATCCCCGTCTACTACTTCTTCACCTCTGGCGCCGCCGTTCTCGCGCTCTGCTGCTACCTCCCCACACTCCACCGACAAACGACCCTGTCGTTTAAGGACATGGTCGGGGCGGAACTGCAGGTGCCGGGTAACGCGGCGCTGAAGGCGGTGAACATGCCCGAACCCATGCTGGATCGAAACGACATTGCGTATTGCGACATGTTGGATTTCTGCACGCACCTTCCCGAGGCGCGTGGGATAATAGTGAACTCGTTCCCACAGCTTGAGCCTGCGGCGGTTAAGGCCGTGGCGGAGGGCGCGTGCTTTCCAAACGCCGAGCGTGCACCTTCCGTTCACTACATCGGACCACTCATTGCAGAGCCTCAGCAATCAGGTTTACTGACTAATGCCATTTTTTTATTCACAACTCTTCTATTTGATTCCCTCTCACCAAATAATGATAATAAAAAAAAAAAGGAGGGGATTCGTCAAGATTTGTTTTATTTAATTACACAAATTTTATATTAAACTTTATTATTAAATTTAAATATTTTAATATATAAATTAAGTTTATAAATTTTAAAAATTTTAAAAATTATTTAATATTTTATTTTATTAATTTAAATTAATATATAAATCATTAAAATTTGATATAAAATATATTATTAAATAAAATAAAATTTAAATAAATTTACTTATGAATTAAATGAATCTCTTATCATAAAATAATTCTCTATAACCACGTTTCTATACAAATAATAAGGTTTAAATATGATGCGGTTGATATAAAATAAGTTAGTGTGTGTTTAATTTATTATTAAAATTTTATAAATTTATATTCAACAAAGAAAATAAGAAATGTTACTTTGTATTTTGATGTTTTGGAACACGTGTTTTTACGTTTTCGTTAAAAAGACATATTTTCAAACACGCTTTTAGTCATGAAACTTTTGGCCAACTTAAGATTGAGACATGTGAGGAGGTCGTACTTGTCATCTGACACGCGAGAGAAAAATAAGGAAAGAAATAATATACGTTTGAAAATAGTTAACACCTCGTTTATTTTTTTTTCTACGCATGTAATTATTTTATTATATTTAAATATTTAATTTATATATAAATTTTATATAAATATATGCTTACATTTAATAGGATAAAGATTAAAAAGAAAAAAAAACTACAGTAATTAAAAAGCTGCCCAATTTCCCAGCTAGACAAGTGGCTCAAAACCTCTTAATATAGCAAATAGACTATCCATATGCATTGTAAGTTTGTAACACATTTCTGGATTGTCAAAACACGTTAACTCATATCGATCCATTTTAAGGTTGTGTTTGAATTGAAGGGATGAATTTAGGGGAGTGAAATAAGATTTGAAGAGAAAGAGAGTGAAAAATAAAGTTTGGATTAAGGGAAAGATAGTAGAAAGTGAGTAGAAAGTTTGTGAGAATTTGTGTAGAAATTAATTGATGTGATAGATAAAAATTAAAAATTTAATAGATGAATATGTAATTTATACTTTTACTTTTGGATTAAAAATGAGTATAATATTATTTATTATAAATAATAATAATTACAATAAAATTATATTAATAGGTATAATGTATTAAAAAAATAATAAATAATGAATAATAATAAATATTAGAAAAATAATAAGAATCATAATAAATAATAATGATACTAATTATAATAAATAATAATAATATTAATAATAATGATAATAATAATAATATTTATAATAATAATAAATAATAATAATAATAATAATATTAGTTGATTTTCCGATTTGGCATGCTTGGTTGGTTTCCAAAATTCCAAAAATGAAGTTGAACGGGAAAAAGCGAAGAAGGTATTGGCATAAATAATAGTATTATTTTATACAGTAGTTAGATAATTGTAAAAGGAAAAAACAAGTGCCAAGTGAGGGTGCGGCGATAGTGCATGAATTAAGGTTGGGAGAAATGGGTATACCACCATAATCGATTATGTATGGTACATAATCGATTATGGGCTGGCATAATTGATTATGCTAGCCCATAATCGATTATGTGCTATGCATAATCAATTATGCTGGTTGGAGGTTCAGTTTTTCACTGCAATTTGTCCTCTATTCTTCATCTTTTTTTAGCTTTTTGGCAGGGATATTATCGGGTTTTCTCATTTCTTACATGACTTTTATCTCTTTTCTTCACAACTTCGCGAGGAATGGCAATGCGGATTCTCCCGCTTTTTTTTGCTTTTCTTTCGGTACAAATTAACAAAAACAAACTCAAATTTCTTCATCTTTCATTCGTTGTGGGCTAAGTGAGGTGGAGTGGTTGACTCGATAATAGAATGTAGGTTAAAAAATATACCTTATCCTATGAAGATATGAATTAGTTGTTTAGAATTAAAGGTTTAGGAGTTTGGTCTTAAAAATATAAAATAATATAAAAAGAAGCTTTTAGAAAGTGTACCATAATTATTTCGTATATTAATCCCGTGTAAACTCGGTGCAGCAACTTGCATGAAACCTTAGCTATTAAAATGGGTAAAGTTTAGGAGTGTATTATGAATTATAATTTATTTTTATGTGTTTCTGGATTCATCACTTATCAGGAATACCCACCTATCTAAAATGTGCAGATTACAAAGATAATTTTTCAATTTTGATCACCTAAATTTTATCTTGTTAAAATTGACTTTTTTCCCAACAATTATTGCTTTAATTTTGGTCATTAAAAATAACAATTTACTTTGCTGCTCTTTATATATATATATATATATATAGAGGAGGGTTCAAACGACACTGGTGTAACTTTTACTAAGTGTTACACCAGTCAACAACTTTATATTAATTTTGAATTTTGAAAATCTAACCGTTAGATTGAAAGTTCATATCTCTTAGATCATATATATCAAATTTTGTTAAATTTGAACAACAACTTGAAGGTAATCAAAGTGTTTATATTTTAGTGTATTTTGAAATCAATATATTACGTCAATTTTATTTTATGAGAATGAAGTATCAAATCATTTTGGATTAATATAAAATTTTGTATATATGATCTAAGAGATATGAACTTTCAATCTAACGGTTAGATATTTTCAAAATTCAAAATTTGATATAAAGTTATTGAGTGGTGTAACACTTAGTAAAAGTTACACCGGTGTCGTTTGAACCCTCCTCATATATATATATATTTATTTATTTATTTTAGAAACGTAAGTTGAGTTGTTCTTATTATATGACAAGATCTTGTCCTTTTGCTTATTTTTTAAAGAGTGAAATTATTATTATTTTTTTCTAATTTTGTATTTTTTATGCGCAGGGATTACTTTTTTTTTTCTTTTGATTTTGTATTTACTTTTTAAATTGTTATATTTTAAATTTATAATATTAGTTATCATTTATACTTTTAAATTTAAATATACTTATCATATTACAAATGAAATCAAGAAACTAATTAAGAACTTGTCCAACTACCCAAGTAGGCAAATCAATCACTAATAGATCGGTTAGCAATGGTTATCACATGCTTGTTAGTACGTTAGTTTCAAATAATTCACATTTAATAAAATTTATTAGCTTGAGTGTGTGCGTTTTTAATTTGACTTTAAAACAACGTGATTTAAGTTAGAAATGAGTATTAAACATACATTTTATCAACAAGTTATTGTTTTGTTTTGAATGAAATTCAACTCAATTTTTTTTAAATAAGGTCTTAAGATAAAATTCTATAAATAAAAAATGATTAAAATAAGAAATTCTACTAAAAGTGAATAATTGTATTCTTTAATAAGATTAGTCGTCGAAAATAGTTCCATCAATATCAATATTAAAGAAAAACACTATTTTAGTTACATTTCTACATAACAACTATAAAAGAAATATAATTTAAAAAACTTTTTTCTTTTAATAAATTTGGTATTTGAAACAATAATTTTTTAGTGAACAATATACTATAAAAAAATTATTTTAGTCATTGATTATGTTATATATATATATATATATATATATATTTATTTATGTACAGTACAATTTATAAATTAACGACCATACTTCTGCTATACTAACAATATAAAATATGAAACACAAAAGATTAAACCATCAAATAATTTGAATCAAAGAAGGTTGTAGATATATATGACTCTTAAACATGCTAAATGAGGGTTGGTTTCTAATAAGGGACTTCTAATCTAATATTGAGTTTTGTGAAATAATTATCAAATTGAAAGATATTAAGTAATAGTTGATAAAAATTACATTAATATTATTTGTTTCCTCTCCAAAATTTATTTTGTTAAGAAAAGTTTGGTTTGTATAAAATCAGATGTAGCAACAGAAAACAAACAATGTTTGTCATGGCTGGACGAACAACCAAGTAAAAGTGTGGTGTTCCTTTGTTTTGGAAGTCGTGGATCATTCTCAGTCTCACAAATGAAGGAGATCGCCAATGGGTTAGAGAGGAGTGGCCTAAGGTTCTTGTGGGTCGTGAAAAGGCCAACCCAAGATGAGAGAATAAAGCATGTTGTTGACATAACATCGGAATTCGACTTGGCTTCTGTGTTGCCAAGTGGGTTCATCGAGAGAACCAAGTATAGAGGCTTGGTTGTGAAGTTGTGGGCCCCACAAGTGGAGGTGTTGAGTCATGACTCGGTGGGTGGGTTCGTGAGTCACTGTGGGTGGAACTCGGTGTTAGAAGGAGTGATTGCAGGGGTGCCAATGATTGCATGGCCACTGTACGCAGAGCAGCACGTGAATAGGCACGTGATGGTTGAACAGATGAAGGTGGCTATTGCAGTGGAACAAAATGAAGAAGATGGGTTTGTGAGTGGGGAAGAAGTGGAGAAAAGGGTGAGGGAGTTAATGGAGTCACAAGAGATTAGGGAAACAAGTTTGAAGTTGAAACACTTGGCTTTGGCTGCTGTTGGGGAATTTGGGTCATCCACAAAAGCACTTGCCAACTTGGTTCAAGCATGGAGTGGATTTAGTGCCTAACATGATTGTCAACTATGATTGTTGATTAATAATGTTGTACAACTGGTTATTGTTTTCACATGAATTTAAGTTTTGAGTATGGTTGGATTGTTGTTGGTAGTTGGTACGATAGAGATAGAGACGATAATATTGGATGTAACCTTTGAATCTTTTAATATTATATTTTTTATTATAAATATTAAATTTAATATAATTGGCATGTTATTTGTAGTTGACAATTACTAACATTTTAAATAATATAATATATCAAACTTAGGTGAGCAAACAATTTGTAATCTACATGCATGTTTTGATAAGTTCAATTTTTACATTGATTTTAGTTATATGATTTATTGAGTGTTAAGAGAGACAAGTGTTTATAAATTATTCTTAATTTTGACTTTTAGGTAGGAAAAAATCCAAAATTGAAACTTGAAAGAAAGATATGGCCCTGAATGAAAGTTGTATGCATTCAGTTTATAGATTGGTGAATTTTAGGGTGTGGGAGTAGGAAGTTTAAATACGGAGGGGAACATATTATTATGGATGAGTGGAGTTCAAATTCATTCAAAGTTTAAACATTGTTATTGATTTGGAAGAATTGGACCACACATACATTTGTGACAGTGGATTCAAATTCATATTTAAATGATTCCATCCGTTCTACCTCTAGTTCATTCTAATTAAGTTTGGGCAAAAATTTCTGGCTGATTTGAAACTGACCAGACCGACGGTCAGATTGGGTGAAGCGGATTGATTCTCAGGTATTTCGGATTTTTTTGGAAGCAAATTTCGGATTCAAACGGGTTTGAATGGTCAGATTTGGTGTTGGAATTTTCTCATCCGATATACCCAAATCTGACCGTTTATCTTCTTCGTCTTCATCGTTTATCTTCTCCGTCATTACCGTTTATCGTCTTTTACTTCGTCTTCTTTCTTCTTCTTCTTCATTCCGTCTTCTTTCTTCTTCTTCTTCACTCCGTTTTCTTTTTTCTTCTTCTTCACTTTGTCTTCTTTCTTCTTCTTCTTCACTTTGTCTTCTTTCTTCTGCTTCTTTCTTCTTCTTCTTCACTCCGTCTTCTTTCTTCTTCTTCACTCCGTAAACATCCACTTCTCTTCAACCTTTCCCTGTCATGGCCACCGCAGCTGAGAAGCTCCCTGTTCCCTACTCTGGTTGACGAAGGGGGTGATGCAGAGATCTGAAACTCTGCGCGATTTCTTCCAAATGAAGCAGTGACGGAGACCGACGAAGGGTGATGATGGATGGCGGCACGAGACGCTAAAGGAAGCATCTCAAACCGATAAACCCATCCCATGAACCCGTAACTCGTACGGATTGAACCCGCCAAAACTCGAGTTCTTCGTTGGTCGATAATAACCCCTAATTTTTCTTAATTGATTTCGGACGATTTTAAAAGTTTTGGTCCAACACTGACCGTGGCCGACCGATGCTGAGGCCTATTTCTAATCTTTTTGTTCTCACCTAAACTGCTCGTACTTGCTACAATATATTCCGTACTAGTAAACCAATCCCATCAAATTGATGGCTCGAGAGTCTTTAAGTTTTGGTAGAATCTGATTTTGAAAAAGAAAATGCTAAAAGAATCACTTGAAGTGTAAAAATATGTAAGTTTTACGAGTCTCGTACATAATATGGTTTCTCTATATTGAAAAAGTTAAAAAATAAAAATATTAAGCAAATAAACTGACTCCTATTCATCTAGATTAAAATGCCTGCAATTTATGAGGATTATGATAGCAAACTAATTGTTAGATTGTTTAACTATGTGAAAAAGTAGTGAAAAAAATAATGAAATGTCCTAATAAAGATTTGAATATAACTTATGATTTCAATTTTCAAATCTAAAAGTCTAAAACATATAAATAATATAATTGCATAAAAAAATAATTAAATATATTTCGCATGAAATTATGAGTTACTGATAATCATTAGATAACCTAAAAATGGATCGATAATGATGACACATAAAAAATAAATTCATGATAAAAAAAGTAAAGGTTTATAATTTGATTTTAGTCTTCAATTAAGTAAAATAGGTTAAGATTAAAAAATAAAAAGAAAATAACAAAATTAACAATAAAAGAAAAAGAAAAAAAATTAAAGATAACTTTTATGTATAATTTTACTGTAACACATAAAAATTCATAAAAAATGAATCAATAATATATTACATATTTTTTTTTAAAATAATCAACAACTCATTTATTTTTGCAGTGTAGTTTTTTTTAGGTAAAAAGAATTGAAGTGTAACTAGCTAGTAAAGTACTACCTTAAGAAAAGAGATTAAAGCCTAAGGGTAGCTTGATAGGAGTTGATAAAAAGTGACTCAATAGGTCCAACAATAATAAATCATTATGATAAACTCATATATCATCTTAAAGAAAATGATATAATATTTAAGTTTAAATTTTAATAAAATATATATCATCTTAAAGAAAATGATATAATATTTAAGTTTAAATTTTAATAAAATATAACAATATTCATTAATAATAACAAATTTACATTTAGAATAAATAGTATCAAATTAATATAATATAAATTATAAAAAATAAAAATATTAAAATTGTAAATTAATATAAATTATTAAATTATATTTATGAGACAAGTATTAAAAATATTTTTTAATTTATAATTTTTTATTAAAAATTAAATTAAAATTTAATTATTTTTAATTGAACCAACTCAAACTACTTTGACCATTATTTTTACCAATTTAGATTGGTTATGGACCGATTTTACTGATTTTTGACTAGTTCGATGTAAAATGATTTCTTGGCCCAACCAAACTGATTTATGATTGATTCTTGGTCAAACCGGTTTGATTGGGCAATTTTGTCTGATTTTTACAACTATAATTCAAATTGAAGGATAATTAAAAAAATATATTTTATATATTAATTTAAATCTATATAATAAAGTATTATATGATATTTAATTTTTTTTAAAAATTTAAAATTTTATTTATATATTAAAATTTTTTAATTTAAAATTAAATTATTAAAATTTAATATTAATTATAAATTATTATGTAAAATAAATATATTAAGACTCGTTACCGTATGAAATGTAATGTTAAAGAAGGAAAATTTGACTTCGAGTCAACTAAATCATAATAATTGGGTCTTTCTACATGCCTTCTAAGGGGGTGTATTGGTTTAGGATTTCATCTTTCTCTTCTTTTATTTCATATATTATAATAAA